GTTGTTGTTGAGATAGAAGAGGCTTTGTTTATTTACTATTTTACTAACAGATTGATCCTCTGTAAAATTCAGCGCCTGGTGTTTTGTAATACACATTTGCAGATCATGAGTGACATCCACATTTTTTGTTACTTATGTGGAAAACCAACAGGGAATCCATAGTTATTGACTCCCCTTATTCTGGGGGCCAAATCATAAGGTCCTTACTCCAGATGGCTTCAGGATCTTTGCATGTGGCACTTTATGATTAATATGTTGTTCTTTTTGGCCTAGGTTTTAACATGCCCCGTTTCATAATATAATTAAATCCGTTGTTTGTAGCTCTGATCAATTCAGGGTGGAAAGCTTTAGTAATAAAGTGTTTTTTCCTCAGGCAAGAGCACTGCAGAGTTAAAAAAAAAAAACAACATAGTATCTTCAGTTTATTTTCCAAGTTGCTAATACAAATAGAATTCAATGTATTTCCCTGGAAATCCTATCAGCTTCTCGATAGAGGAACAGAGGAACGTACCAGATCATATGTGTATTCTAAACAGTCCAGCATCCTAACCTTTGCCAGTGGTTAATATATGTGGCTTCAGAGGAATGAGAGTTGTCCCCAGATTTTGATGCAGTCATCAAAATGCAATATCAAGATATTTTGCCTTGTAGTTCTTTGTGGCTGCATTTGGCCAGCATATCTTCCCTTTTCATACTCCCTTTTTGTAGTTTCTAAGGGGATCCTGGCAGTTTAAGTACATTTGCTCAGCTCTCCTCATGCTAACTTATATTTATCAGCCAAAATGGGAATTAGCATCCGTGTTCAGCACATTGTTCACATTCCCTAAGTAAGATAAGACTCACTAAAATGTGGACTAAATCAAATCCCCATGCAGTTTCCTGAAGACTATTATAGCTCTGGAGCCAAAGGTTTAGGATCACTGACTGTTGCAATGTTTTAGGACCCTATGTACAGGGGCAGGGTGATTCTGCTGACTCATCTTGGCATCCAGACCAGGTGCATTGTCATCAGATCCAATAATCATAGAAATGAGAGATGTAGAGCTGGAAGTTTCAGAGTAACAGCCGTGTTAGTCTGTATTCGCAAAAAGAAAAGGAGTACTTGTGGCACCTTAGAGACTAACCAATTTATTTGAGCATGAGCTTTCGTGAGCTACAGCTCACTTCATCGGATGCATACTGTGGAAACTGCAGCAGACATTATATACACACAGAGATCATGAAACAATACCTCCTCCCACCCCACTGTCCTGCTGGTAATAGCTTATCTAAAGTGATCATCAAGTTGGGCCATTTCCAGCACAAATCCAGGTTTTCTCACCCTCCAGCCCCCCACCCACAAACTCACTCTCCTGCTGGTAATAGCCCATCCAAAGTGACAACTCTCTTCACAATGTGCATGATAATCAAGGTGGGCCATTTCCAGCACAAATCCAGGCTCTCACCCCCCCCCCCTTTTTTTCCCAGGGACACACACACATACACAAACTCACTCTCCTGCATAGCTCATCCAAACTGACCACTCTCCAAGTTTAAATCCAAGTTTAACCAGAACGTCTCGGGGGGGGGGGGGTAGGAAAAAACAAGGGGAAATAGGCTACCTTGCATAATGACTTAGCCACTCCCAGTCTCTATTTAAGCCTAAATTAATAGTATCCAATTTGCAAATGAATTCCAATTCAGCAGTTTCTCGCTGGAGTCTGGATTTGAAGTTTTTTTGTTTTAAGATAGCGACCTTCATGTCTGTGATTGCGTGACCAGAGAGATTGAAGTGTTCTCCGACTGGTTTATGAATGTTATAATTCTTGACATCTGATTTGTGTCCATTTATTCTTTTACGTAGAGACTGTCCAGTTTGACCAATGTAAATGGCAGAGGGGCATTGCTGGCACATGATGCCATATATCACATTGGTGGATGTGCAGGTGAACGAGCTGGAAGTGACTCACAGACTCAGACTTTCAGGTCAGAAGGGAGCATCATGATAATCTAGTCTGACCTCCTGCACGCTGTAGACCACAGAACCTCACCCACTCATTCCTGTAGTTGGCACCATAACCTCTGTCTGAGTTACTGAAGTTCTTAAATCTGGATTTAAAGACGTCAAGTTATAGAGAACCCACCGTTTACTCTAGTTCAGACCAGCAAGAGATGTGTACCCCATGCTGCAGAGGAAGGTGAAAAACCCACAGTGTCTCTGCCAATCTGACCTTGGGAAAAATTCCTTCCCAACCCCAAATATGATGATCAGTTAGACCCTGAGTATGTGGGCAAGAGTCATCAGCTAGACTCCTGGGAAAGAATTCTCTGTAGTAACTCAGTCTCCCCCTGTAGTGTCCATCTCTGCCACTGGAGATATTTACTAATAGCAGTCACAGATGGGCCATATGCCACTGTAAACAATCTCATTGTACCATCCCCTCCATAAACGTATCAAGCTCAGTTCTGAAACAAGTTAGGTTTTTTTGTCCCCACTACTCCCCTTGGAAGGCTGTTCCAGAACCTCAGCCCTCGCATGGGTAGAAAATTTCATGTAATTTCAAACCTAAACTTGTTGATGGTCAGTATATATCCATTCATTCTTGTGCCAACACTGGACCTTAACTTAAAAAACTCCTCTCATTCCCTTATCCCTCTGATGTATTTATAGAAAGCAATCATATCTCCCCTCAGGCTTCGTTTTGTTAGGCTAAACAGGACAAGCTCCTTAAGTTTCCTCTCCTAAGGTAGGTTTTCTATTCCTCCGATTATCCTAGTAGCCCTTCTCTGCACTGTTCCAGTTTGAATTCATCTTTCTCAAACATGGGAGACCAGAACTGCACACAGTATTCCAGATGAGGTCTCACTGGTGCCTTGTATAATGGTAAGAACACTTCCCTATCTCTACTGGAAATACATTGGGTGATACATCCCAGGATTGCATTAGCCTTTTTCACAGCTACCACATATTGGTGGTTTATAGACATCCTGGGATGGACTAACTCACCCACATCTTTCTCCTCCTCTCTTGATTCCAACTGATACATCCTCAGCTTGTATCAAAAATTCTTGTTATTAGACTCTGAGTGCATAAGCTCAAGAAATTATCAAGTCCAGCCCCCTGTGCTGTAATAGGACCAAGTAAACCTAGACCATCCCTGGCCCCAGGTGTTTGTCCAACCTATTTTTAAAAACTTCCAATGATGGGGATTCCACAACCTGCCTTGGAAGCCTATTCCAGAGCTGAACTACCCTTATAGTTAGAAAGTTTTCCCTAAAATCTAATCTAAATCTCCCTTTCTGAAGATTAAGCCTATTACTTTTTGTCCTACCTTCAGTGAACATGGAGAACAATTGATCACTGTCCTCTATAACAGCCCTTAACATATTTGAAGACTATTATCAGGCCCCCTTCAATCTTCTTTTCTCAAGACTAAACAAGCCTAGTTTTTTAACCTTTCCTCATGGATCAGATTTTCTAAATCTTTTATCAGTTTTGTTCCTCTCATCTGGACTCTCTCCATTTTGTCCACATCTTTCCTAAAGTGTGCCATGCAGAACTGAACATGGTACCCCAGGTGAGGCCTAACCAGTGCCAAAGAGAATGGGACACTTACCTTCTGTGTCTTAACTATGACACTCCTGTTAATGCACATCACAAAGATATTAGCCTTTTTCACAATGGCATCCATTGTTGACTCATATTCAACTTGTAATCCTCTATAGCCCAGATCCTTTTCAGCAGTACTACTACCTAGCCAGTTATTCCCCATTTTGTAGTTGTGCATTTCATTTTTCATTCCTAAGTGAAGTACATTTCAGTAGGCTTTTATTGCATTTCATCTTGCTGAATTCAGACCAGTTCTCCAATTTGTCAAGCTCATTTTGAATTCTAATTCTGTCCTTCAAAGTGCATGCAACCCCTCCCAGTTTGGTGTAATCTGCAAATTCTATAAGCATACTCTCCATTTCATTATCTAAGTCATTAATGAAGATATTGTACAGTATCAGACCCAGAATTGACCCTTGCAGGACCCTACTAGATATGCCCTCCCAGTTGGACAGTGAACCACTGATAACTACTTTTTGAGTACTGTCTTTCAATCATTTATGCATCCACCTTATAGTAATTTTGTCTAGACCACATTTCCCTAGTTAGCTTAGGAGAATGTCATCTGGGACTCGCTCAAAACCCTTACAAAATCAAGATATATTACATCTACTGCTTCCCCACTAGCCACTAGGCCAGTAACTCTGTCAAAGAAGGACAGAGTTTGGGTTTGGCATGATTTGACAAATCCATGCTGGTTAGTCCTTATAATCTCACCTGTCCTCCAGAAGTTCTCAAAGATAATTGCTAACAGTTCCAAGATTGCTTTAGCTAGTTCTGTTCTAAGATGAAATTCAACAGGCCCTATCAACTTGAATACATCTAATTTATCTAAATATTATTTAATTTGTTCTTTCCCTATTTTGGCTTGCATTTCTTCCCCCTTGTTTTTAATATCAATTGTGTTGAGTATCTGAGTACCATTAAACTTTTTAGTGAAGAGTGAAGCTAAGTAAGCATTAAACATCTCAGCTTTCTTGATGCCTCAATTACTAGCTCTCCTTCCCTGTTAAGAGGGCCTATGCTTTCCTTCATTTTCTCTTGCTTCTAATGCATTTAAAGAACCTCTTCTTATGGCCTTTTATGCCCCTTGTAGGGGCATAAAACTCATTTTGTACCTTAGCCTGTTGGATTTTGTTTCTACGTGCTTGTGCTATTCTTTTGTACTCCTCCTTAGTAATTTCTCCATGTTTCTACTTTATGTAGAATTTCTTTGATTTTCAGATAAATAAAGAACTTCTGATGGAGCCATATTGACCTCATACTATTCTTCCTATCTTTCCTTAGCATTGGGATAATTTAATACAATAATAATGTATATCAATAAAATACTTAATTATATAACACTTAATGGGTTTGATTTTTCTCTTCCATATGTAAATAAGAAATAACTCCATTTAAGTCAATGGCATTGCAGAGTTATACAACTGGTTTAATTGCACAGCGAATCAGGCCCTACAGCTTCAAAGTGCAATACAAGTATTAAGTAATTGATCTAAGTAATCCAAATAAGTGCAGTATGTGCAACCATGTTGCAGTTAATAGATTAAATTTCCTACCAAAATATTATGGGCTGGATCCTGGGTAAATCCACTGTGTAAATCCAGAGCAAATACACTCCAGATTGACATTGATATAACTGAAATCAGAATCTGGCCCCAAATGTTTGAATCTCAACCAAACATGTAATAGATCATCGAAGGAAGAAATTTTATGGTTCATTTGCCTCTCACCTGTCCCAGCAATAAAATATGCATCTGTCAAGAGCTGGGGGAAGGAAAAGGAAAGCCTCTGGCCTGCGTAGATTCCAGGTCCAGACGACAGCCAGGAGAACTTGTGTCTGAAAGGGGTTAAGTTCGGCTCTGTTCAAGTCTGTCATCTTACTGGGCAGTCTTTTGGTGCTGGCTGTTGAGGATTGGAGAGTGGGATGTTCATCGTGATTTCTGGTATTATCCTGTAATGACAGTAGCACATATTTTGCATTCTGTGTGTGGGATACTGTCCTTCCCTTATTCGGTGCTCAGAACCAGTGAAGAGATAAGAACTGACGCTTGAAAATAATAGTCCTATGACCCAGCTAGGATATAAGTAAGATGGTCTTACTGGGTGCAGAGAATCCAGCAGCGTGAAGTGGTTTTGCCTTGTCCAGCTGGTGCCCTACACTCTCCAATGCAATTCAAAACACAAAGCTGCTTCTAGACAGCATTGCTTTGTTATTCACTCAACTTTACGAGCCTTGTCACAGTTAATTGGATTTGTGACGTGTTCAGATGTTTATTTCTTGACTCCTCTGTCCTTTCCCCTTCACAACACACATGCACATAGAAACTACAGTGGACAAAATGTCACATGTGATTTAACACAGGATCTAAAAATATGCAGCCATGTATGGATGTGCAGTGAAAACTTTAAAATGTACAAGGTGCTGCATACTTAAAATATTTAATTCTGATACATATAAATATATTTTTCACTTAGCTTCTATTTGTGAATATTTGTACATGTGTGATGCTTTCCTTAGAATCATAGAAGGTTAGGGTTGGAAGGGACCTCAGGAGGTCATCTAGTCCAACCCCCTGCTCAAAGCAGGACCAATCTCCAATTTTTGCCCCAGATCCCTAAATGGCCCCCCTCAAGGATTGAACTCACAACCCTGGGTTTAGCAGGCCAATGCTCAAACCACTGAGCTATCCCTCCCCCTTTTTGTGACATTGTCCTTTTATTTAATTATATCCAGGGTTATCCAGGCACTCAAATACTGACTTTCTTGATCATTTTGGACATCATCACCATCCTGCCTGTCATTCTGGCCTATACCTTGGGCATCATCTTCAACTCGGATCTCTCTCTATGTCTAAGGGCTTGTCTTCACTAAGGGGTAAGTTGACCTAAGTTACGCTACTCCAGCTACATGAATAACATAGCTACATGAATAATGTAGCTGGAGTCGACATAGCTTAGGTTGACTTACCCTGGTGTCTTCATTGCGCTGCGTAGATGGGAGATGCTCTCTCCTTACTCTTCTCAGAGAAGTGGAGTACCAGGATCAACCGGAGAGTGCTCTGCCATCTGTTTAGTGACACCCACTGTGTTGACTGCAGCAGCGTGGATCTCCCCGGTAGTGAAGATGAGCCCTAAGACTTGCTGATTCTTTCTGCATTACATCAGAGGTATGGCCTTGCTTATCCATCCACAAAGTTAAAATCTTCAAGCTTTCATCATCTTGCATCTCAATTACTGCAACTTTCTCCTCTCTAGCCTTGAAAAATGCAATCTTTCCCTGCTCACGTCCACTCAGAATACTGCTGCAATAATAATTTTCCTAGCCTGTTGCTTTGACCGTTACCCCCTCCCTTTCCATTCCTCCACTGGCTCCCCCTTCTCTATTGCATCAAACATAAGCTGTTTGTATTCACTTTCAAGGCCTTTCATGGTCACTCCCCTCCCTTCCTATCATCTCTCATTGGCTGTTGAGCTGTGGATACCTGCCTCTGATCACCCACTTGTTAAATATTAAAACAAACACCTTCATGCTTTCTCCCACACTGTTGCACGCTCCCCATAAACATCTGCAAAGCTACCTCATTATCCACCTTCAAATCCCTCACCAAAACTCTCCTTAGCTGTGATGCCTATAAAAAACAACTCGGCTGATAGTGTGCGGAAACTACTGCCTATGACAGTGACCAGTGTTGTCTCATTGTTTACTTGTGCTCCCTCTTCTATCAAAAGTCACTTGTTGTCTCATGTCTGACACTTATATTGTAGGATCCTGGGGGGGCAGAGACTGTCTTTTTGTTCAGTGTTTATGCAGCATCAGCTCAATGGAGTCCTGGTCCATGACAGTAATATGGTAATACAAATAATAATGTATATAATCATCACTCTGTGTCATTCCGAAGCCTAGAATTTCTGCAGAGTCAGTGTAAAGTGAGTGAAACAAGATAAGCATGGTTGAGGGATCTCTTTATTAGACTATCACCAGGTTCAATCATTACTGAGATTGATGGTCTATTACCATCCAAGTTTTAATTTCTCAACCATTTTTTGGCTTTTTTACCCACAAGACTTTATGAATTACACCCATGTTTTCAGCTACTATTAATGAATAATAAAATAATAATAATAAATGTCTAGAGAGATATTATTGCAAGTGTGTGCTATTTTGGAAAAGAAAACAAAGCACAGAAAATCTGAACTGGCTTTTTGCTAAAAAAAAAAAATCTATAATTTATGGAATCTCTGAGAGAAACCTGTGATGTTAGGTAAGGCCACTGTCTACATCCATCACTTCATTATGTGTTCCATGTAATGATTTTCATTTACAGTTTATAAGCCCTGATTTAGACTTTGAACTCCACACTGAAAAATAGCTCTTAAAATTTTTACAAAGTGAATTGTGTATTACTTTTCACTACTAAGATACTTTGATGTCAAGATTTGTAAATAAGCAGAAAAACGAGGAGATTGGTAACTGTGTACAAGTGACCACATGAAGCCCTTTAAAGGAAAAAGTCACAAAGGAGGGGAAATGCACTGACATCTACATACCGTAGGAAATCACTAGCAGATGTGCTAGACAGCAGGCCTTCAGAAGTGTATAATGTTATAAATACCTGTGTATCTGGTTACAAAATGTTTCAGACAGACTGGAAACCCATGGCTATCCCATAAGAACTGGTACATACATGAGAGCTTAGTGACACAAGCAATGTGACAGTCATAATGGATGTAGCAAGACCCTGTGCAGATTCTATATTGTCTGGGGTTAGAACAATACTGAGTCATGCTTGTTACCAACACACCATCCATTCATGTATTTAATCAATATACACAAAGGGCTATACAGACCCATTTGTGTGTTTCTAAAAATGTGTGTTACCATTCCTGCATAAGTTTGGGTTTACATAATGAAATATAATGTTTACATAATGCAGTGTAGTACCAGTGTTACTAAAATATCATAGAGAGAGTGGGACTCCAATTCAGAAAAGCATTTAAGCAAATACATAACTTTACATTTGTACTTACCTCAGACTGAAGTCAGTGTGATGGTATTACCCCCAGGGTACTACCTGTGGTACTGGGGTACCACTGAGCCTGCCTGTTCTGCCAGCCTGGGCTCCTTTATACTGCCCTGCTGAGCCAGGTCCTCAAGCCTCCTCCAGCACACACACAGGGACACACCCACCTGCAGAAAGACACAGACACTGAAATCAGCTCTGCATGGGAAGACTCAGTTAGGGAATCGCCCAGCACTCAAGTGCACTCCCACTCTGGAGAGTAAACCCAAAATTGTATTGTGTTGTGCTGCACAGAGAAGTGTACAGCATAAGCTAACTGAATTTTGCTTCCTCCCTCAATGTGGAGAAAGATATTTCCCCTCCCCCCGTTATGAATTCCACAAACTGGCTTTAGAATGAGGGCATGGCTACACTTGCAGATGTAGAACTCTTTGAGTTAAACCAGCCTTCGTAGAGCGCAGTAGGGAAAGTGCTGCAGTCTGTCCACACTGACATCTTCAAGCGCACTGGCATGGCCACATTTGTGCCATTTGCAGCGGCATTGGGAGGGGTGCATTATGGGTAGCTATCCCAGCATGCAAGTGGCTGCAACATGCTTTTCAAATGGGGGGTGGGGTGGAGTGTGACAGGGAGTGTGTTGTGTGTATGTGGGGGGAGAGAGAGTGGGGTTTGGGGAGGCTGAGAGCATGTTAGCATTCTGTCTTGTAAGTTCAGACTGCAGCAGACCTCCTCCTCCCCCCCCACCTCTCTCTCTCTCACACACACAGCATTCCACACTAATGGTTGCTTTGTCCTGGAGCAGATAAGCAGCCAGCTGTCAGAAACTGAGCTTTCAAAGGCCATATCCACATTCCTACAGCCGATTCCAAACAATGACCAGAGTGGCCACTTGACTTAAGGGGATTATGGGACGTTTCCGGAGGCTGATCAGAGTGCACTAAAGCAACACCTCATTCACAATGGCGCTGCGGCGCTCCAGCGAGGGTGCAGCAAACGTTACTCCACTTGCTGAGGCGGAGTACCAGCAGCGCTGTAGCCGCAGAGTCAGATTACTCTATGTGCCTTGCCAGTGTGGACGGGTAGTGAGCTAGTGCGCCTGGGCTCCTTTATTGCGCTGTAACTCACAAGTGTAGCCAAGCCCTAAACAAAAACGAGTTAACTGCAAAAGGTTGATTTTAAGTGATTATAAGGGATAGCAAACAGATCAAAGCAGATTACCCAGCAAATAAAACAAAAACCTGTAATGTAAGCTTAAGACACAAAAGAAACTGGTTACAAGTCGTAATTTTTCACTCTAAATATTCTTTCACAGGCCAGACACCTTTTCCAGTCTGGGCTCAGCTCTTCTCTCCCCCTTTTGTCTTTGTTTCTTAGATGTTTCCAGCAGTCATCCTGGGCAGGGATTCAGTGAAGAATGCACCCTGATTAACTCATTTCCCTGCCTTAAATAGGATTTACATAGGGCGGGAATCCTTTGTTTCCCAGTTTGATCCCCACCCCCTATTAGTGGAAAAATACTAGTAGTCCAAGATGGAGGCCAGTATTAGGTGACATGATCCCATGGCCTGCAGTGTCAAAGCAGCCATGAGTCAAAGGTTGTTTGCAGCATCCCAGGAACGTGGGAGACCAGCATTGGCAGATAAACACGCAAAAAATGTTATTAAGCATGAACAAGTTGACCTAGAGATCCCCTTAATCAAAAAGGAGCTAAGGAAGGAAAGGCAAGACTGGGCACATGAAACGAAGGGGGAAAATTCCATGAAATATCCCCAATAGTTGAAAATGTTGAGATAACCCAAGACCCTGAGAGGAAGAGCAAAGTGGCTGTGTTCAGAATTTTAACAGGTCATGGTAATATGTTTCTAATAAACAAACATAAAGGATAGACTATGCAAAACATAAGGTCCCCAAAAAAAATACATCATCTCTGATGGAACTGTAAAGATGTACAGGTAAATGGAGATATTTTAGATGAAAACTCAGAAGCCTTAAAGTAACAATATTATCTTTGAAAAACCTAGCCAGAATACAAGGAAAAAACAAGGGGCCCAATTAAAAAGCTATTCTATAATTCTTTAAGAATACTGGGAAAGGTGACAGACTTTGTTATAACCTATCTATGAGATTCAGTGAATGGCCTTTATAGACTCAGGAAGTGAGTCTGCTGCATCATAAAACCCAAGAAGAAAAAGAAGAAGGGGCTGGAGGGCTATCAGCTGGGGGCTGTGGTTGGGTGAGGGACTTGACTGGAGAACCAGTTGGAGTGAGGGAGGGCAGAATGTCTGAGAAGTTGGGGAGATACAGGCTGAAGGAGGCTGCTGATCCACAGGACTAGGAGGGAGGACAAAGAGATGGAAGATGTAATTAATGATTCTGAAGCTAGTTTAGAAAAGGTTGGAGGTGGATGTCAGGGAGGAAGACTGGTTACAGGTTAGGAAAAAGAAAAGGGTGTATCTCCCTGATCCAGAAGAAGGAGCAGCAAGTAGGAGGACAGACTGTGAAGAGCTACAAAAGGATCTCACAAAACTGGGTGACTGGGCAACAAAATGGTAGATGAAATTTAATGTTGAGAAATGGAAAGTAATGCACATTGGAAAACATAATCCTAACTATACATATACAATGATGGGGTCTAAATTAGCTGTTACCACTCAAGAGAGAGATCTTGGAGTCATTGTGGATAGTTCTCTGAAATCATCCACTCAATGTCCAGCGGCAGTCCAAAAAGCAAACAGAATGTTAGGAATCATCAAGAAAGGGATAGATAATAAGACAGAAAATATCATATTGCCTCTATATAAATCCATGGTATGCCCACACCGTGAATACTGCGTGCAGATGTGGTTGCCCCATCTCAAAAAAGATATAACAAAGCAACAAAATAATGGAAAAGATGTTATGAGTGATACTGGGAATAACAGACATGACATACTGTTGATAGAGAAGGAGTGAACATAAGAAAAGCCATACTGGGTCAGACCAAAGGTCCATCAAGCCCAGTATCCTGTCCTCTGACAGTGGCCAATGGCAGGTGCCCCAAAGGGAATGAACAGACAGGTTATCATCAAGTGATCCATGGACCTATCTTCCATGAATCTAGCTAGCTTCCTTTTGAGCCCCATTATAGTATTGGCCTTCACAACACCCTCCGGCAAGGAGTTCCAGAGGTTGACAGTGCATTGCGTGAAAAAATACTTTCTTGTGTTTGTTTTAAACCTGCTACCTATTAATTTAATTTGGTGGCCCCTTGTTCTTGTATCATGAGAAGGAGTAAATAACACTTCCTTATTTACTTTCTCGATACAACTCATGATTTTATAGACCTCTATCATATCCCCCCTTAGTCGCCTCTTTTCCAAGCTGAAAAGTCCCAGTCTTATTAATCTCTCCTCATATGGAAGCCGTTCTATACCCCTCATCATTTTTGTTGCCCTTTTCAGAACCTTTTCCAATTCCAGTATATCTTTTTTGAGATGGGGCAACCACATCTGCACGCAGTATTCAAGGTGTGGGCGTACCATGGATTTATACAGAGGCAATATGATATTTTCTGTCTTATTATCTATCCCTTTCTTGATGATTCCCAACATTCTGTTTGCTTTTTGGACTGCCGCTGCACATTGAGTGGATGATTTCAGAGAACTATCCACAATGACTCCAAGATCATAGAATCATAGAATCATAGAATATCAGGGTTGGAAGGGACCCCAGAAGGTCATCTAGTCCAACCCCCTGCTCAAAGCAGGACCAATTCCCAGTTAAATCATCCCAGCCAGGGCTTTGTCAAGCCTGACCTTAAAAACCTCTAAGGAAGGAGATTCTACCACCTCCCTAGGTAACACATTCCAGTGTTTCACCACCCTCTTAGTGAAAAAGTTTTTCCTAATATCCAATCTAAACCTCCCCCACTGCAACTTGAGACCATTACTCCTCGTTCTGTCATCTGCTACCATTGAGAACAGTCTAGAGCCATCCTCTTTGGAACCCCCTTTCAGGTAGTTGAAAGCAGCTATCAAATCCCCCCTCATTCTTCTCTTCTGCAGGCTAAACAAGCCCAGCTCCCTCAGCCTCTCCTCATAAGTCATGTGTTCCAGTCCCCTAATCATTTTTGTTGCCCTTCGCTGGACTCTCTCCAATTTATCCACATCCTTCTTGAAGTGTGGGGCCCAAAACTGGACACAGTACTCCAGATGAGGCCTCACCAATGTCGAATAGAGGGGAACGATCACGTCCCTCGATCTGCTCGCTATGCCCCTACTTATACATCCCAAAATGCCATTGGCCTTCTTGGCAACAAGGGCACACTGCTGACTCATGTCCAGCTTCTCGTCCACTGTCACCCCTAGGTCCTTTTCCGCAGAACTGCTGCCTAGCCATTCGGTCCCTAGTCTGTAGCTGTGCATTGGGTTCTTCTGTCCTAAGTGCAGGACCCTGCACTTATCCTTATTGAACCTCATCAGATTTCTTTTGGCCCAATCCTCCAATTTGTCTAGGTCTTTCTGTATCCTATCCCTCCCCTCCAGCGTATCTACCACTCCTCCCAGTTTAGTATCATCCGCAAATTTGCTGAGAGTGCAATCCACACCATCCTCCAGATCATTTATGAAGATATTGAACAAAACCGGCCCCAGGACCGACCCTTGGGGTACTCCACTTGATACCGGCTGCCAACTAGATATGGAGCCATTGATCACTACCCTTTGAGCCCGACAATCTAGCCAGCTTTCTACCCACCTTGTAGTGCATTCATCCAGCCCATACTTCCTTAACTTGCTGACAAGAATACTGTGGGAGACCGTGTCAAAAGCTTTGCTAAAGTCAAGAAACAATACATCCACTGCTTTCCCTTCATCCACAGAACCAGTAATCTCATCATAAAAGGCGATTAGATTAGTCAGGCATGACCTTCCCTTGGTGAATCCATGCTGGCTGTTCCTGATCACTTTCCTCTCATGCAAGTGCTTCAGGATTGATTCTTTGAGGACCTGCTCCATGATTTTTCCAGGGACTGAAGTGAGGCTGACTGGCCTGTAGTTCCCAGCATCCTCCTTCTTCCCTTTTTTAAAGATTGGCACTACATTAGCCTTTTTCCAGTCATCCGGGACTTCCCCGGTTCGCCACGAGTTTTCAAAGATAATGGCCAATGGCTCTGCAATCACAGCCGCCA